CTCTCACTAGCCAACTAGCGGAGAACTTCCAACGGTTTCGACGTTAGACCCAACCTTCAGGTGTATACGTTTCTTATACGTCTGGCAACTTCATTGCGCTGGGCCTGACTGCTCCTCTGAGACAGGACTTTAGCACTAAAAGCACAGGTTGGCTTGGTGGGAGGACCAAATTGTTCTAAAGAGCCTGTACAGGCCATCGTGTGAAGTACTGTGAATTCCTGCAACCGAAGATAATTGTACCATTTCGCAGTTTCACAAGAATTTACCTGTCACCTAACACGAATTTGTAAAAGGAGTAAGCGAAGAAGCAAAATGCCCCTTCCGAACCGAACAGCCCCCACTATCTCAAATCCGAGGCTTTTAAAGATCTAGTGCAAGCATTAGTTGAAAAGTTGTAATTATAGAGGATATACTCCATTCGCGACTACCAGCGGTGGAAATCCCTCGCAAGGGATTTTTTGAGCCGAATAGTTCAGTGCAATGGTATCCTACTTGCTCAAAAACGTGTGATACGGCTGCAAAGCGTTTCGTTCACAACATGGGAATTACGTGATTAGTAACTGTGAGCGCCATCATGGTCTTATGGCACGGTTCTCACCGGGCGCAGTTTGCCAGGAAGGGGGGGGGGGGAGGGGGCAATATCGTACGCTCGCTAGTTCTTCATCGTCCGTTTTCCATTCTTGTGCCAAGACGACAGGTGTTATTCGTTAAGTGGCTTTCCTGCATTTCGGAGACTATCTCTTTAGTAGCTTCGACACGCAACTGGAAGTAGCGAAACTGGCAAGTGTAACCGTGACATTCCCTTAGCCGAACTGTGCCGTCTCATTGTAACCTTGTAGGCTAGTGCACTGAACTCTCTAAACTTGTTAGACATGAGTTGGGGGGGGGGGGCGGTCCCTAAATATTTACTCTGCCGTGATATTCGATTCGAAGGCGCGTGTTGGTTATCTGCGGAATTTATCTTGGAAAATGATTTTTTTTGCTCATGTCGTCCGTTTTTGGCGTCGCTTTCGCCTAGCCGGCAGCTCGCTCTCATTCGCTTTCCCATAGAAATGGATTACCACATATGGAGTGCTTTTTGAAAAAGTTTGCCGTGACAATTTTGGGAGTGACTCACACCTATGGTTCATCGGTGTTTCTTCGAGACGTCTTTGTCTGAAGATCCTGTTCCAGAGAAAGTCTGGGTATAGAATTGCTAGTGTCAAACGAGTGTTAGTTTGAAACCAGTGCAGTGGTGTCTACGAGTCGTCTTCATGAGTCCGGCCACTTGTAGGTCAGGTTTTATTACCGAATTGGGTGTGGCATCACTTTTGTTAACTCCACCTCTACCAGGGCACATCATTGGTTGGGGCTTCTAGTTGAGTCCGTACGATCCTTTTGTTAGCGAAGGGGAGGAGTTAGTCACGAGATCCCTCCTTCTGCCCCCTGTCCTCCTCATCGATCGAGCGGCGTCGAGCGGGAGAGAAGGTGGGGGGAGGGGTTATAGTAACGCATAAAACACGAAAATGCACGGAATCACCCATATCCTAGAAATGCCAGCAAGTTGAATTACGGCCAACCCCTTCCAACAATGAGCAAGTACGACCACCCCTCCCCCTTCTTTGCAACGTCCGTGAAGCGAAAAAACCAACTATCAAAATAAATTTTTCTCAGCTCAAATAGGACCCACCCCGCCTGATTTCCACACGAGGTAAACCAGTCTTACATGCGTATGTTTCGGCCACAGCACGTCGTACGCTGGAGGATTCGTAACGGGGGAAGAGGTAGTATTTGGTGGCTGGGAGAAAGAAATCCCCATTTCCTTCTATCCGAAGACAGTTTTTCGAGGAACTTAAGTGAGCAAATAAGTTGATAGGTCAGCTGTGGAAAGGAATGCGTACCGAAAAGAAAGAATTTAAAGAGGGAGGGGGGCGTGACTACTTAGCATCGAGTTTTCGCGCAACGATAGGGCTAGCCTGATTTTTTTGGGAACTGACTCAAGATTCAATGAGCACAGCTATGAATGAAGGGGACTGCTTTTATGTCTTTCAGGTTCCTATGCCTGAAGGTGAAGACAAAGTGACTAGAGTTCGATGGTAAAGAATTTATTGATTACGACAACAATTACGATTACGGTCACAAATACGCAATATTAGTGAACAAGCTTTGAAAAATCTAAAAAAATCTCACAGAAATCACAAAACCTAACAGAATTGCAAGGTTCTCGAGAGGCGGTGCGACATCGCCCGTCGAGAGGCCTGCCGCACGTTTGCGGACCATCTTCTGCTTTACCAGTTTTTCTGATCAAGAACTTTATTGATGATATATTGTGGTCGTATCGATATTGATGTGTGCTTATCGTTCCCTTATAATACTGCCAGCAGATTTATTCAGCGAAAAAGCGAGAAGTCGACCCATAAACGCAGAAGGCGACATTGAGCGTGCGGTCGCGCAGCGGATTGTGTGGTTTGCCTTCTGTCAAGTAGCGATCTCCATCTGTTCTCCAGCAGTGATTCGTGATTCGAGACGATAAGTAGCAAATGCGGACACAAACGCGACGCACACATAATTTTTCACACAATCAGTCATGACACTGGTATTTTAAGTAAGTAAGTACTGGAATGATGCTATACCTAGCCTCTGTTATTTGCTATCATATCCGCGCACAGGAAATTTCTTCGTTGCCATTTAGTGTTGGACCTCCGCAGCAGCACATTCTTCCTTTCATCTTCACTCTAATCTTCCTACTAGTAGAACTTTTTTTTTGGCATGTTTTCCGTTGATTTTCGTCTTTTAGCGCAGACGACGGCTTGGGAGGGGCACTTTGCTTTTTTTGCTAGTTCATGCTCAGTTACACATTGTAGATTCCTGCGAAGCTACGGAAATGGTAAAATGAACTACTGGGGTCGCAGGAATTTACAGGTGGCCTGAACACACAATTGGCCTAAACTAGCTTCGCTAAGAATCAGTGCCCCCACCAAGCCGAACTGCGCCGATTTTCGTTTTTTGATCCAAGAAAGCTTCCTTGGTCCAAAAGCTGGTGCAGGTGAGAATCAACAACTGACGAAGAAATTCTCGATTGCGGACGCTGGTGAAATGGGGTACGGATTTGGCGCGGCGCCAACCTATCCTACCACCATTTGGAAGCTGACAGGCGACCACAATTGGTGAAGGACAAACTGGCGGCCCGCCAAACACAGCCGCTCTCCCCCCCCCCCCCCCACCCCTCCTCCCCCGCCCCCTGATGCGCTCCCGTGTCGGCAGCGAACTAGACAGTAAGAATGCCGCGAATGGCTGCTGAAGCGCGTCAGAAGTAATCAATTTAATATCGATTAGCAGCTAAGACGTGGCACTCTACGCCCGCCTTTGATTACCATATGTAAACGAGTAACTATTTTCTCAAAGCTAGAAATCCTTTCTGGGATGCGCCACGCCTTCGAGTCCCGTTACTGGAATTCCCCAAAAAGATCCTTCCCTTAAAACGCCATAGCTCCCAAAGCGACTTCTATTGTAACCTATTTCGCCGAAGTGGAGTCTTTCCCTGCGACAGGAAAAAAACCGGCACTATTTACCCTTTACTGCCCCAACCATCCAGAATTGAGCCAGTTTCTGACCGATTTTTCTCCGTGGACAGATTTGGCTCAAATGTTGTCTCCTGGGGTATTCCTGAATACGAATATGACATTCGCTTAGCCCGAAACCTCTTGGCGCCCGCGCCACACGCGCCGTGATCTGGGGTATTTTGGCGCCAGCACCTGTAGCGCGGGCGGCAGGAGGTTTCAGGCCGAGCGGATGTGATATTCATGTTCAGGAGGTCAAACTACCCCAGAAACAAGTTTTCAGCCAATTCTGCCAAGGCAGAAAAAAGTCGGTCAAAAACTGGCCTGTTTTCGGAAGACTGGGGCAGTAAAGGGTAAATAGTGGCTACTGTGAGCACTAAGAAGGGGTGAGAGGGTGTCGAGAACTTGGGCAGGGGGTCTGTAGTGTGAGGATGAGAGGGTATCGAGAACTTGGGCAGGGAGTCTGTAGTGTGAGGACTTACCACTAGTGGTGGCAAGATTTAGTGGAACTTTTCATGGTCACGTATGGACCGTTTTCGGCCTATACGAGAAAATTTGAAACTCGCTTTCCATTATCCCAAACAAATCTGACAACAAACAATCGAAACATGGGTGATGCGATCGGGCGATTTCACCTGGGATTTGATTCATGCACTATAAAGACGCAATGGGTTTTTTCTTGAAAGGATTCCAGAGTCTCATGCATTTCTCAGAGCAAATCCCATCATTAAATGGTTTCTGAACACATTCACATGCATTTGCCAAGAATAGCCAAGACTATCGAAATCACGAAAAATACAGACAGTCATGCATTTCTGGACCATTCTGTCTATGGGCTTGCGATATCAGAAAGAAACAGTTTGTGCACTACCGGTAGTGCCAGAGAAAAGAACACAAAAGAGTTGGGTGGAAAAAAAGCTTAGAAAGGGACACAAAAGGGTATTGCGAAACTAGACAGCTGTAGGCGGGTTACAGTATAGTTGTGTGAAATACATGGGGAGGGAGGGTCGTACTTGGCCACTCGGGAGGGAGGAGGGTCGTATTTGGTCGCTGCTGGAAGAGGCGGGGATCGTATGTGACCTTGAGAGAAATCGGGAGAAAATTTTTCCCGGCTTTACTTGTCGCGGTTTTTCCCCTTTCACATTGACTACATTTTCCCTGCCCCCTAGTTGGTGGCGCCGCCTAACTTTTATACAACTTCTATTTCCGATAGTTAAAAATAGTAATGGCTCCTGGAAAACACCCCCCCCCCCTCCGCTCGACGGAAACTCCTTGGGGAAAGAGTAGCGAATTTTCGGGCATTTATAGAGAAAACTGGTAGGAAGCTGGGTACATATAGGAAAGTGGTAAGTAGGTGGTGGGGATGCAGGATGTACCGAGACCCCTCCTTCGGGGGAGGGGGTGGACATCCCACTGAAACCACCATTTCACACATTACGATACTGTACCCTGAATGTAAAACTACCGAAGAAAGAATGCTATTCGAGAGTGGAAGCAGAGACGCAGAAAACACGACATTTTGGCCCCAATGTAACATACCTGGTACAAAAAGTCAAGGCACATAGACTGAGTGCCATTGTTGTAGTCCACATCCCATGTGATATCAGCACACGATGGCGTATTAACAAAACGCTCACTTTCCGTCCATTTTGTGTTATTTTTGAACTTCTGAGAGAAAATACTTTTTTGTCCAAAATAATTATTCGTTTCTTTCCACTATATTATTACCGCATCTTGGTCCTTAGAGATATGATGCATCATTGTCTTCCGTGATCGGCATCCACGATGTACGGTTGTTAGACCTCCATCGGCCTCCTAAAAATGATTAGATGCCATCTTCGAAAAGCGCCAGGAAAAGGGGCGTGGCTTCCCACCGCTGTTAGAAAGGCGAAACACCATGGATCGTCACATGATCTGAAGAGTTTCAGATCTTCTCCCGGTTCTTCGATAGAGTTCACGCATTGCTGAAAATGTTTCCAGATTAAATAGAAGTGACGAAGTGAAGCTGAGGTGTAGGTGTGACGAGTGTGGGTCAAGAGATTCGGATTGTGACGACCAACTATGTTGTGATGAGCGCTGCCAGCAAAGCACTTTGTTGACCTGACACAGTACAACACTGCTAATAGGTTTTGGTGCGAATGCCGCGCGCGTGACTTTGCTTCTTGTGCGTGTTTTAACACGCTTGTCATTACATGGAACTGAGGGCCCACAACCGGATCTCCTGACCCACAACAGGGCGTCAAAAACGGGAGGAAGGAATTGGATTCTCATAAAGTCAAAACAAACCTGTCCAACTGAATATCTCGGAGTCACTGGTATAAAACCAAGATTGCAGCCATCCTAAAGAAAACCCAGAAGTTTTCAATAGCCCTTAAATTTGACTTGAAAATTTTTGGAAGCCGCCTCATTGATCCACACCTATTAAGTAGGACATACCGCTTCATTACAACAGCATACGGTGTTATTATCGCGTATGAAACATCCAGTGCTTCTCTTGTTCTTCAATTGTTCCTGACTAGCGCAGAAAGCATCATCGTCGCAATGAAATTTGCCGTCAGTCTTGTTATGAAAACACCAACCCCAAATTTCGTGACCACGGCACCAGACCTTGAAAAAAAGTTTTTTTTTTCTCGCAGGGATCATGGCTTTATCGTATACTGAGAGTTGAAAACAATTGTTTTGGACTTCCTAAACTTCTAGAGACCTCTAGAAGTTTAGGAAGTCCAAAACAATCTTCTAGAAGCTCTGGAAGTCTTTTGGTTAACATCACTTATCATAAAGACTTGTGAAGAAAAGAGGGTATGCAGCACTTCTTAAACAGGAGAGAAAACTCTAAAAGTCGGACGCAAATACGATCCCCCTCGTCGCTATCCCTCCACCGACCAAGTACGACCCCTCATTGGAAATCCGCAACATCTCTCAAGAAAATAGGCAAGGTGCTTGCAGCGGTCAATGACTCAGGTTACCACGGTGTTGGGGTTAAACCCATTTTTGGATTTTGCCCATGCTGACCATGCGCCTCTTCAGTTTTTTTTCTGGCATCTCAAAATTAGTACCAAGCTTGCCTAAGACGAATGGAGCACTGGCTTTTATATCATCTGATCCCCGCAAGTCATTGTATGGGCCATATTGCATTCAAAAGTCACTACTACTTCGAATAGAAGTAAAGGGCGTGGCGCACCACAAGAAGGGTTCGTTGACACTGATGGTTTTTCTTTAACACCGTCACCTTCCAGTTAGACATACCTTCTGATCATCTGCGCAGTAGCGTCCAAATACCGTTGTGAATGTGGCGGCAAATAAAAACGTCAAAATCATAAGGGCCTGTAAATTTTATTCTCAAACAATTAGGAAAAACGACTAGGAAGGATATGAATTTTCCGGAAGAAAGAATTACTGAATAGAGAAGGACAATACGATACAGTCTATATCACGGCGTGTGGAAAGGGCGTGTCCACGTTTACACGGCGGAGGCTGAGCATTTGTGAATACTTGCAGGTTCAGGCACTGAGGGACCAGGAACTAATCAACGTTTTCTTATGTTTCCTGCCTTACAGTTCATATCATGACAATCTGATGGGGCGTACCATAAGGAGTGGAACGAGCTCATGCGCGTTTTCTGCCACTGATTGTTCTACACCTGAGCTGGCCACTATGGTAGAAAACGCAGCGCTGGACGGGCTCATTCCGCGCCTTCTGACACCTTCCGATGTCAGCTGTAAGCGCACGATGCTCACTTCAATACCTCAGTCGGCAACAAACCATCGTTGTCGCTGCCACAGCATTTCCGTGGACACGCCCCTCCTGGCGAGTGATATGAACTGTATGTACACATATCCAAACCTTCACACTCCAATTCTTTTCGCCTCATAGCTGCCCAGTCAACCACTGTTTCAGATCTGGGCACAGTTCGTTCTTGGGAGG